GAAATGGGAGGTGGGCTTTTAGGTGGCAAAGGAAAGAAGCCAAAGTTGCCATTTTGCTGCTGAGCGCCCAGAGAGGACGACAGCGCGTAGTTCTCCGTGGGACCCTACTCACATTGGCAAGTGTTGCTTGGGTGATACTAGTTTGTAGCCCCTCCCCAGACCACCCCCTTCTTCTTTCACAGCCTAATCTACAAATCATATCCAGGCTTCTCCAAAGGGAAAAATGCTGCCATTAAGGTTCAGTCCAGGGCTGGGATGACTGGACTTTAGGGTACAACTCAAACCCCTCTTGGAGTTAACCTAAGGGTTGGGAGAAGCTTGAAAGGGAGAGGAGTACTGGAATGTTTGGATGGATGGGGGAACAGAAATGTTCAGATTCTAACTCCAACTTGACTTCTTAAGGTCTTTGCACTTTTCAGAATGAATAACATGCCTCCAGGAATCCTGAGGGACCTCAGCCAAGCAGTCAATGTTTATGAAAGAGTTTTGCACTTTTTTTTTCACTCAGACTTGGCAATAAGAGTAATCGCCATAATTCTTGAGTGCTGTGGATGTAGGTGAAACTTCACACAGGGTGTTTCTGACATTAGAGCATTTACTGCAGCACAGGAACAAATCCGGTTAAGGACCATAAACCCCTTCCCGGGAGAAGGTTCTGTTCTCTGCTACAAGAGCTGCTGGTTAGTGGCTGCTCTAGAAATAAGAACAGAAACACACACTTACCACTCTGTTACCAGCCGGAGTGGCAAGTGGCCTCTAACGCTTTGGGGGATTTAACGCCAATGTGCGTAGGTCGTTGTGCCTTCCCAAAGCCAGGAGAAGCTGGTGCCGCATTGGAAATCCCCCCTGGGCTCGGAGCTGGAGGACCAGGGCTCAGCTCCCGGCTCAGCCCTCAATAGCTGTGCTGCCTCTGGAGACGCATAGAACCTCCCAGCCTGTCTCTCTCTCAGGGGATGGGGTTGGATAATGCCTAAACTCACTGGTCCTCAAACACCCATCTGTGGATGAAGTTTTCGGGGAACCCGCGACAAAACTTTGACAGTGATGATGGAAACAATGTAGTGCATTTCCCACTGAATTAGATCAAATTAGAGGACTGTATTTTATTCAGAAATGATTTGCTTTCTAGTTTTATGTTACTAAAATCCCCTTTTATGAAGCGATGGTGAAAACAGACACAAGTCATTGGTAATTATTTAACAAAGGTCTTGTTTTTATGGCAAAATAAAGAACTGGCAGTCTTATGTTGCTCATCCTATTTTGTTGTCATTATACTGCTCTGTGAAATCCAAGTTTGAGACCCACTGCCCTAGTACAAAGCTTGTTATGAGGACTGAAATAAGATACAGGGACATGCATCGCTTATAAACAGACACAGGCTACCCAAACTTGGGTTAATTTCAATCGTTACCTCTAACCATCATTCTCCAGTTGGGTATTCCTGGGAGTATCTGGATGCCCTGTGTTGAAGTTGAAACTCCACAGGTTTATTTTCCATCTGTATCGATCTGTTCACTACATTTTCACAAGCAAAATAAAACAGACTTATTTCCTTGAAGGAAAGTAGAGAACTATTCTTCCCTTGGTTTAGATTTCTCTCTGCTTCAGTGGAATAGCTGCTATCCTGCTCTGCCTTCCTTTAAGTTTTTATTTCAGAAGGCACGAATCCAAGGCACGAACCCTTAGCACCTCTAAAGTCCATCACAACAGCGGGTTTGGTCTGTTTCAGTATTGGGACTGGAAAGATTTTGCACCAAATAACAGTGGGTGTTTTTTTTCTTCAATTAGCATAAGACACTTTGTAACTGGACATTAAAAAAATAGTCGAATGACCCTAGCATCATAGGAAGAGGTGCAGAAGGACACAGTCTTGTCCGGCTTTGGTTTGGAAATTTCGAATGGGGTGGTCAGGAGGCTCTTGTGTCATAAATGTCTATCGGGACACTCAAGTGGCAAGAATCGCTGGTCTTCCGGTTTATATTTTTGATCTTAGAAAAATAACAAGCAGGTGTGCTTTCTTTTCTCCAAACAGCTGGTTTTGAATGTTTTCTGTCCTTTTTGGTATTTAGTATTTCTTTGCAAATTCTAATTCTCCTTACTGCCGCCACAGCAGAGGGACTGCAGTTCCTGGCCGCCGAGGAACACTGGTTCCGCAGGCATGCAGGGACTGAGAATTTCAGGCTTCAAAACGATTACGGTTGCCCTCATCCACTGTGTCCAGGGAGCTCCCACTCTCTGAAGGGCTTTGCTCTGTGTGGAGACGGTTCACAGAGGGTGATGTCAAAATGGTCCCTGCCCTCACAGAGCTTTTGATCTGAAATGGGGGAAGCCAGACTGGCGACATACAGTTCTAAGAGCATCCATGCAAGTGCATGACTGAAATACAAACTCAGAAACACTAATATGGAACAACTGAAATAAGGCTGTCCTCCAACAGTTCATGGAAATGCACATGATGAGGAAATTAAGTGTGGATCTTGAATTTTTTGCATGCAAATAAATACATCTTTTAATTCAATTTTCCATGAACTTTTGGAAGCTCCCTGTAAGATACTAGCAAGACAATGTTAGATACTATTAGCAAGATGAGTAAGGTATTAGATTTGGAGCACACTGGCACCAGATTTGGTCTGATAAGAGTAAATTATGCTAACTATTGTTTTAATCGATTTCAGATGAAACTGATAAGAAACATTTTTTTTTCTGGCTCTGCCACCAATTGCCACTCTTTACAGGGCAAGCACTAGATAGAACTGTAGCTTGAGAAGATTCAAAAGCAGGTCTGTGTGGCTGGGATTATGAGCTGCTGGTACTGAACAGAGGATAGAGGACCACTCGTACCCTCAAGTCCCCATAACTGCAAGAATCTCTTCCATGAGTGGGGGTGCCACAGCTGCTCTTGCCTTCCCAGGGAAGAGACGCAGCTGTAAGATGGTCTACCTAATTGGGAGCTTCTGGGGCTCCAGAAGAAGGCACGCCGTCTGCTCTTCAACAAAATGCAGAGAGCGGACGTGCATAGGCATGCATATGCTGTAATCACAGGCTGGGCATTGTCCATGCCTACACTTAGGACCCTGCCACCACGTACTGCCTTCCAGGGCTCCAAATCTCGGGGTGGGAGGAAGCTTTAAAGTGCCATTCTGGTTTCCCTCTCTTAAAGATGAACATCACACCTAATTTAAGACTTTTCATCACCCTTTAAAGTGTTCAACACATATTGCTGTCATTAAATACAGCAGGCATAGAGTTGGGTCTTTAGCCTAATAGTTAAAATGCATCCCACGTTAGAGTACCTGGATTTGAAACTCAGCTCCAGTTTCTGACTCCAGTTTCCTGTTAATGCAGACCCTGGCAAACAGCAGGGGATGGCTCAAATAAGTGGGTCCCCGCCACCCACACAGGAGACTAAGATTGCCTTCCAGGTCCTGGCTTCAGCCTGCTGCCTATTGTAGGCATTTAGGGAGTCAACCAACAGATGGGAACTCCTCTCTCGCCCTTGCTTTCCAACTCTGTCTCTCAAAAAAATATACTAATAATTGTAAAAAAAATTTTTTAGAAAGCAATAGACATATCACTTCGGTTGCATGGGATCCTAATCCTATGGGGGATGGGGACAGAGCAGGATCCTCCCCCATGAGCTCATGGTCTGGTCTGAGGGCAGCCATGAGCAAACTGCACAACTCTAGGGCTAGTGAATCTGGAGGAAGAAGTGTCCTAGGATAAGGTGGAAGTTTTTATCAGTCTTTCATATGTTACAGGTTTGCACTGGATGAATGACCCAGTTTGTATACATTCTCCCTGTCAGTTCAATCCCGTTTCCATTAGCCATCGCTGTGCTGGGGGCATTATTTACTATCATGTTATTGGGATCCTTTTTCTATAGACCAAATCTCTAGCCCTATTAAAACAGCCACGTTATAGACCTTGACACCTTTTCTGCTGGACACTAAATGTGTCCTTGCAAACCTTCCTCATCCTGTACCATGCGTCCTTCCCAAAGCCCTCTCTAGCTCCTTTGGATTTAAAAGAGTAATAATAAAAATATACTGCCCTCAATTGGTAAAGCTATTAAGAAGGGTTTCCAGATTTCAACTTAGAGAAAGGAATACATAAATTCAGAGCAGCGGAGTCAGAGAATCATGTAGCTCTGATTGCAGGCAGTGTATCTCAGTGGCGTAGTGGAAAGAACCCAGCATTAAGCATCAGGCAGACAGAACTGCTGCTAATAGGCTCTCTAGTCTTGGCCCATGGCCTTGGCCTCTCTGAGCCTCAGTTTTTGCGTATGTTGGAATTAAGTTAGTTAACGCTTAACTTAGCTTACACTGTGTGCTGGGTTGTGGGGCAGGTACTGAGTACACAACCATAAATAAGACCAACGTGGTTCCTTCTCATGGTGATTGAAGGATCAAATGAGAATTAAAGAATGCATGTCAAAGGTCTGTCCCCAGGTAGATGATCAATAAGTATCGGCTCCTTTTCACTTACCTTTAAACACATGTTTACATATTCCAACATAACAAACGTAAGGTGGCTACAGACAATCACACACATACACACATTGTGCTGGAGGCCCAGACACCCACAGAATAAAGAATTTTTTCAGCAGTATGTCTTTTGGACCCTACATCAGCTGATGGTCTGGATTTAAGTCCACGTAACCATGGATTTTTATTTATGGTCAACAATGAATTCTTATTTTTTGGTGGAGTTCAAGGAATAATAAAGCTATTGCCTTTCAGAGCTTTTGTGAAGAGAATGAGAACAGGTATTACTATCAAATCCGTTCTGCCTATGAATAAGCTAATGGAAGCAGTTTCTTTCATGCCTCTTTTGTCCCTAGTCCCAGCCTACACAGAGGATGCACTCAATAGATACTGTTTACATGTTGGCTGTTTCAGCAATGCAGAAAGGCGCTGTATCCGAAGAGTTAGCAAAAAAGGGAGTGACCCAGGGTTGCACTGTGGCCGCTGAGCTTTTGCCTTCTTCCTCCTCTAGGTGGGTGAGAAATGGGTGACTGGAGTTTCCTGGGGAACATCTTGGAGGAGGTGAATGAGCACTCCACAGTCATCGGCAGGGTCTGGCTCACCGTGCTTTTCATCTTCCGCATCCTGATTCTCGGCACAGCCGCAGAGTTCGTGTGGGGGGATGAGCAGTCCGACTTCGTGTGCAATACCCAGCAGCCCGGTTGCGAGAATGTCTGCTACGATGAGGCTTTCCCCATCTCCCACATCCGCCTGTGGGTCCTGCAGATCATCTTCGTCTCCACACCGTCCCTCATGTACGTGGGCCATGCCGTGCACCACGTGCGCATGGAGGAGAAGCGCAAGGACCGCGAGGCGGAGGAGCTGTGCCAGCAGTCCCGGGGCGACGGGAGCGAGAGGGTGCCCATCAGCCCCGACCAGGGCAGCATCAGGAAGAGCAGCAGCAGCAGCAAAGGCACCAAGAAGTTCCGGCTGGAGGGGACTCTGCTGAGGACCTACATCTGCCACATCATCTTCAAGACCCTCTTTGAGGTGGGCTTCATTGTGGGCCACTACTTCCTGTATGGTTTCCGGATCCTGCCCCTCTACCGCTGCAGCCGCTGGCCCTGCCCCAATGTGGTGGACTGCTTCGTGTCCCGACCCACTGAGAAAACCATCTTCATCTTGTTCATGTTGTCTGTGGCCTTTGTGTCGCTCTTCCTCAACATTATGGAGCTGAGCCACCTGGGCCTGAAGGGGATCCGGTCTGCCTTCAAGAGGCCTGTCGAGCAGCCCCTCGGGGAGATCCCTGAGAAATCCCTCCACTCCATTGCCGTCTCTTCCATCCAGAAAGCGAAGGGCTACCAGCTCCTTGAAGAAGAGAAGATCGTGTCCCACTACTTCCCATTGACTGAGGTTGGGATGGTGGAGACCAGCCCCCTGTCTGCCAAGCCTTTCAGTCAGTTCGAGGAAAAGATCAGCACTGGACCCCTAGCGGACATGCCCCGGAGTTACCAAGAGACACTGCCTTCCTATGCCCAGGTGGGCGCACCGGAAGTGGAAGGGGAGGAGCCGCCAGTAGAGGAGGCCGCAGAACCGGAAGTGGGAGAGAAGAGGCCGGAAGCTGAGAAGGTGACCGCAGAAGGGCCAGAGATGGTGGCTGTGCTGGAGGCGGAGAAAATAGAGCCCCCTGCTGTGGGGAAGGAAGGAGAAAAGGAGGAGCTGCAGGCTGAGGTTGCCAAGCAAGGGCTGGCGGCTGAGAAGACGCCTCCGCTGTGTCCGGAGCTGACCTCCGAAGATACCAGACCTCTGAGCAGGCTGAGCAAAGCCAGCAGCAGAGCCAGGTCAGATGATCTAACCATATGAAATGGTGCCAAAGGAAGAAAACCTCCAGCTAATATAGGGCAAAGCGAAAAGAAAAGGTACCAACATGGCTTGAGGCTTCCGCTTCCTCCCCTGACTCTCATCCCTAATTGGACAAATGCTGCAGTGGCACAGTGCATACTGGACAACTAGGAAACTGCCCATCCCCAAAGTCAGGGCCATCCAGCTAAACCTGTTGGCCCCTCGAGCTCCCAGTCTCATATCACTGCCCTGTGCCTCTATCCCCATGGCTGGGGGGAACACTTTTTATCCCCATTGCTCTATAGATACCCTTCAGTCAGAACTGTGGTTGCCTCACAGCCCTCTACCAGACTTAATCTCACTAACGCAGCCAGATTCTACCACCCTACCACTTCCTTAACTGATGCTATGTGACCATACTGTAAGGATTCCATACTGCAAAGCCCACAGGATCCAGACAAGTGATTGAAATTGGGGAAATAGGCTGCAATGGAGAGAGGGAGGGCTGTGCCAGTTGAAGAGCCGGGCTGGCTGCTGCTCGGTTCCAGGCAGTGACGACCACACAGTGTTACCTGGCTTCTGATTTTTCAAGAGAAGCCAGGAGTCCGAACTTTGAATTGAAATTTTCAGAAGTTTTAATGTTTGCAATCCAAGTTTAAATATGACACGTGGGCCAAATGAAACGCGTGCAAACCAAATTTAACCTGTTTGGCTCCAATGTGTGATGTCAGTTTGCTCTGATGAGCTGACTCGGCTTTCCTGCGGAATTGTCATTATTATTTACAATCTGTTTTTTGTGGCTTCTGAACTCCATTTGGCCACCTTGAGGCATTTAAATAATAAGTTCAGAAGATATCCAGATTTCTCGCTGACCATTCTTTAGGTTCATGCCACTGAACCTCCTGGTTCTGAAGCAACAATACACCCTGTGTTGGTAGGCATTCTGCCCCTGGCACCAAAACCTCTCCCTGTGAAATTACAAGGCTTTGAGGCCTGGTCACGGTTTAATTCCTTGAAGCAAAGAAGATCCTCTTCTTTACTTTCTTTACCAACATCAGTGTTCAGCATAAAATCTGTACCTCCTTTCATTGAAGGTTGGGAGCAAGCCAGCTTCTAAGCGGGAGGATACTCACAGGCCTTTTGCTGAAGAGTTAGCTCTCAAGCCAAAAGAGCCATCAGGGTGACACTAGGGGGAGCCTCTTACAAAGTAGGTATCCAAACAGCGAGGGTCCCAAAGTTCAGTACTAGGCCAAGCTTCATCCCTGGAAAGGACATAGATGTTAAAGGGAACAAGAAGAATCTCAGAGGTCTCTGCTCCTATGCCCTGGCAACCAACCCACCTCAAACATACAGTCCAGTCAGGGGAAATCCTGAAATAAGTGCAGGTACGTGGTTCACACCAGGAGCAATCTTACCCAGAGTCACTTTCCAGAGCAGAGAGTGAAACAGTAACTAAGTTGGTTTGTCTAAGCCAAAGCTATATTTCATAGACTGAAGTGCCAAGGGCAGGGTAAGAGGTATAGAAACCAAGTTGATTTGTCAAGGATCTGGACAGGACACCACTAGGAGACTCAAAAGAAGTATCCACAAATGCTGCCTGTCCACCTCACCAGCACCATTCCAAAGTGCGCAAGGCCCTTTTACTGCCCTCTGGTTAGCAATTTCCTTTTAAGATACTCATTCTAGATATGTCTTTCTAAAGCAAGCCTTCTCCAAAGCTATTCCTCTACTGTGACCGTATTCCCATTCCTTGGTGCCCTATTCTAAAGCAAAGAGGTCTAAAGATTAAATTCATTCTAAAGTATGATTGATATTTACTCCCGGGAAAACTTGCATTTAGCAAAGAAGCCCTAAAACATATGAGAGCATGTCCGAAAGTTCATGGAAAAAATGAAGCTTAAAGATTTCTTTTGGTGCAAAAAGAAATGGAAATCCACATATAGTTGTTTCATAGTAAATATTTTCCATGAACTTTAGGAAGACATTTCATATTTTATCTAGGTAACCCAAAATGACAAACCTTCAGTGGAAGAATGTATCAGGCAAAGACAAGTTGAACAGAAGAAATATTTATCTTGTATAATGCGATTTTTCTGGATACTGTTTGACTCTAACCCTTTTTAAGCAACACTATTCCACACAACCTTATCGTGCCTAGTGAAGGAAGAAACAAAATTCTGGGCCTGAGAACAAGAGAATGCATCCTTGACCCCAATGGCGACACTATTCCTCCTACAGTTTTGCTATTGGTGACGCATTTTAAAAGATCATTAGTAATAGCTTTATCAGTACCAGAATAAAGCATCTATTTCAGCCAGGACCCTAAGCAACAAAGAAAAAAAAACATGTATTATCCCCAAGTTAGACTGCTGGGGCTGTTTGAAACCAACTATAAAGCTGTAGGTGAGGGCTGCGGGTTTCCTTGTCTTGAGCGGGACATAGGTGTATCAGTGCTTTCCCTCGGATGAAGCAGCATCCTGCTCCAATGTCCACACCACTCTGCCACCACGTAAGTTAGCAGTTTTTCTCTTAGTCTTCCCAAGAAGAAGAGTAAGCCTATTTTGGAAGAAACAGATACAGGCATCAAGGGACCAGGATTTTCTATTTCTGCCATTTAGTTTCTATGTTACTATTGTCTTTTTTCTTTCTTTCTTTCTTTTTTTTTTTTTTTCTATCTCTGGACAGGCAGAGTGGACAGTGAGAGAGAGAGAGACAGAGAGAAAGGTCTTCATTTTGCCGTTGGTTCACCCTCCAATGGCCACCACGGCTGGCGTGCTGTGGCCGGCGCACCGCGCTGATCCGAAGGCAGGAGCCAGGTGCTTTTCCTGGTCTCCCATGGGGTGCAGGGCCCAAGTACTTGGGCCATCCTCCACTGCACTCCCGGGCCACAGCAGAGAGCTGGCCTGGAAGAGGGGCAACCAGGACAGAATCCAGCACCCCGACCGGGACTAGAACCCGGTGTGCGGCGCCGCTAGGTGGAGGATTAGCCTATTGAGCCGCGGCGCCGGCACTATTGTCTCTTAACCTCTCTGTACCTCAGTTTTCTGTCTACAAACCAGAGATGGCGTTTACCACCTACTACCTCCAGGGATATCCTAAAGATGAACAAGTTGGCTGCCAAGCCTGGAGCCTGCAAAGTAGTGCCATTTCCTGAGAGAGAATCTAATGTCAGTAAGAGTGGGGAGAAGGGCAGGTAGGTGGTTTCCATCTGACCCTCCCTCTTGCCTGGCATTACCTGGTGAGAATGTGGAATAGGCAGTCTGAAGATCAGCTGTCTCAGAGAAGAATCTGACCCCACAGGCTTCGTAGGAGCCTGAAGTTCTATGACCTGAGGAAATGGCTGGGGGCAGCATGGCAGTTGCTTCCAGCCTCTGAAATAGGACGCTGCTTCTTGAGCTGCTACGCAGTTGCTGCCAGGTTCCCTTCAGAGGCAGCTGTGTGTCTGTGGTAGCTCCTAACCTATGCAGCAGCATCCCTCAGCTTCTATTCTGAGACAAATCATTATGACTGACTCTGGACTGCAATCCCCCTGGGCTGCCATAGATCCAGCTCGAGTTCCTACTCCTAGTACGTCCCTTGTTAGATAAAGCTTTAGTGCTCGTGGACCTCCCAGTGGAAGCAGAGGAGGGCAGGACATCAGAAGTGCAGCTCCCTCCAGAGGCAGTGGGCTGATCACTTCGTAGCAGTTGGAACACCTCTGTCAGGGGAGGTTGGTGATCAGGAGGGATGAAGTCACTCAAAGTTCAGCTAGAAAGTTTTGAGTCTGGCTGTATAATCCCTGACTAGCATTTGGAGCACTGTAAAAAGGCCGTGACTTCCTCCCTTGACATGTGTGTGAAGTATCCAGCATAGCACTGGACAAGTATTCCCACCAGTCAGTGTGGCCTGGAGGGAGAGCCACAAGGAGCACTAGGAGTCAAGCCAGGAGTATTGGCTGCCAACTACTCTCCTTGGGGAGGCCGAGATCTCACCGACCTGCTCTCCATGATAGCTTTCTCTAGGTTAGTTGGGGCTAAGTTCTTCTTCATTAAGAAGATGTTGTTGCTGTTTTTAAAAACTTGCTAATTGGAAAATGAAAGGAAAGGTGGCCTTATCCAAATTTGGAAGTCTGTGTTCTGAAATGTACGCTGAAGCGATGACAGCCGTCACTTTGGAATACTGCCTAGATTGTTAAACTAAGATGACGATGAACAGTGAGCCGAAAGGTGAAGCTCCTGTGCAGAGGCGCCAGCTCCTGAGTCAGCCTCTGAGTCTGGGCGGGAAGCAGTCCATGGACACTGAAAGACCCTCACGCGGGAACTCTTGGGTGTGCACCATGTGGAAGGCCTGGGGCAAGATGAGTGCAGACTTCTGCCCCTCTCTGGTTCCTGAAGAGGGTCCTTAGGCATGCCTGGGTAAGAAGGAACACACACACCCTTATCCATTTCCCATCCCCCCAACCTCCTCCTCTCTCCTTCCCTGGCCCCGCAATTACATCTCTATGCACATCATGTGCCAATAAAGCACAACCCAGTTAACAAAGTTTCCATGTAAAAGATTTGCCTGGTTGGACAGAAAACTTCTCTGAGTGTAAATACAATCTGCAAAATCTAGTAAGTGTGTGCCTACTAGTGATAGTGAAATAGGGAGACTTGGAGAATGGAGGAGAATAAGGAAATGAAATTCTAGGTTCAGCAGTTGGATAAGAAGAAAAACTTTTATGAAAGACAATTCACTCTCTACTGTCCTAGACAGTGCAACTCTCAAAAGAAGCTGGTGTGCAGCCCAGGCAGTAGCCACCAAGTAGCAGGGAGGCATACTCCGGTCTGAAGTGCCACTGCTTTCTGCAAGTTCTTCAGGGAACACCAAGAGAATTCTAGGAGAACTCCTTAGCTGCCTGGAAGGAAAAGTGGATGGTTCCATTGCCTTTTGATGCAGATTTTTTCCATCTGTGAAACAGCATAGCAAAGACTCAGCTAAGAAACTCACTCAGAGCAAGCTTGCTCTGGCAAAAGAGAGAGGCATTATTGGGATGGCGGTCCTCTGTTCTCCAATTCTCTACAGCCTTACGTCAGAGCTAATAGTCACATGTTAGACTGTTACAAAATGAATAAAACTAGCGTGACTTTTCACCATCTTGGTTTTTGTCTTTTGGCCTGTCAGGCAGGTGGACTGTGGAGAGACTGCCTCATTTTCTAGCTTTTCTTCCTTTGGAATTGAGGGCCTGGAAAATAAGGAGGTTGAGGTGAAGGTGGCGAGGGGTGGGAGGTGTATGTTGGTAATGAGTGAACAGCCAACTCTCTCCAGGGTAAAGAAGTGCTGGCCTACAGTGTTTGTCAGTTTCCTTACTATGAATTCTCCTACCAGTACCAATTTTAAGCCACCAACACAATGTCACTGAATGCAGAGCTGGCAGCAGTACAACATTATGGAATTTTCCACCATACAATGGACATGCACTCTACAATAGAAATAAATAATCTCAAGAGCATAGATAATACTAAAATCATCAGGAAGTGGTGAGCTTTGAGTGCTAACTCTGTGTTCCATAATTTTTAACCTTAAGCTTCTATATTTTAATTGGTAGTCATCTTTACACTTAACAACTGGCTCACTAAATTCCTGAAAATTTAGCAAATCACTCTTGCCAGCCAGCACAAGCCAGCTCCCAATACCTTTGAGGGGCATGAAGGAGAGTCTGATTCAGGAATAACATAAAGACTCATAACCAATTCATATTGGTCAGTTTTGTCTTCTCTATTTCTGTGCACAAACTTCAAGAAAGAAATAAAAGATATACTTGGATGGCCTATGGAAAGAGGCAACAGAATCATATTTTTTTGTGTGTCAATGATAACTGTAGCAGGAGTTACACT